CCACTGACGCCTTCCCGCCTCACCACACGAGGGCTGAGGAGAGCTGCGCTCAGCAGCCGCCCCTGCAGCGCTCACCTGTCTCACGCCGCTTTGTGCTTTGGCAGGAATATCGCCTCTGGCAACAGCACAAACTTCCACGAGAGCCTTCCCACCAATATCCTGCTCCATTTTGTTGCCGTGGCACAGACGGGCACGCTGACAAAATGGCACTTGGCATGGAAACGCGGAGGAAGCAAAGAGGCATCACTGAGCTCCTCCAGGCGGGAAAATGGCACCCGCTGACTTCCATCAACACTCACTGAACCACATCTTCAGGTATGGCCCAAATTCTGCACGAGTCTTCATTGTTAATATCGAAGTTCACAGATGTTATATTTTTTACAAATCTAAACTGCTTTCCTCAAACTGAGGCTGCATTAACATTGCCTCCTTACATTAAGGAGAGGCTGCACCAATGTAAGTGTGCTGCCAGGCCCTGCGAGATACTTCAGTCAAGCAAACACAGCCTTAAGACCAAAAAAAAAGTTTCCAGCACTGCAATCCTGACCATCTCTCAAATACACTTTTCAAATACCTTAGAATAATTTGATTTTTTTTTTTCCCCCCAGAAACAACTTTCTTTAAGGTCAAACAAAAAGGATGGCCTTGTTACTCCATTGGAAAAGTCAAATATATATAGGAATATAAAGCCGATCACAATTTTCCCTTGATTTTTTTTTTCCTGCATTCTTCATTCTCCAAGCTGTTATTATTAGTAGAAAAACAGGACTGGCAAATATCACCCAATTCAACTGATGGCTTTATTGGGAACAGCATGAGACTAAGTGCCCAGCGATGTCTGAACAACATAAGAGTTAGTTTTGTTCGGTTTTCTTCTTCATAATTGTACTACACAGAAGAAGCTGATGTAAGAGACTGGGGGCAGGTGAAGAAGCAGGGACTCTTTGGCTGAGTGGATGTATTACATTAATTTCTTAATATGTGAAGGAGTGGATTACCCCTCTAACAGCAATGGGAAATTAGTTTCTTTATTTCTTCATTAAGACTGTGGGAGGGAAATTAATTTTCTACTCTGGTTTTCAAAATTAATTGAATATATCTTTATTAACATGATAAATATGTACACATACTTTTTGGTTGAAAGAATTCTCTAAATTAATCCTAAGCAGACATTTCCCAGGCAGTTTGGTAGCACATAACTTTTTGCTTAGTTTCCTAACATTATAAAACTGATTTCACAAGTCCAATCTGTTAAAGCTACCTATATGGAAGAAAAGCATCTCAAAACAGTTTTTCTAGACTCATTTGTGCAGTATCAGTTGAATAGCATATTATTTATTCTTCACTTCTTCATACTCCATTATTCTTGTGCCTGCATTCCTGCAGCCTAACATGCACCTAAGTGTTTATGTTTTCATGCACGTAAGCGTACGCAACAGAAATTGTCTTTTGATTGCTCTAAAAGGAAAACATGATTTCTGAAAACATAATCCACTTAGCTTGAAGAAAGGGTCTAGATTTGCACTTAGATGAATTTGCAAAAGATCTCCAATTGCTCACTTCATTTCCTATGCAATGTCTTCATATCTGTATTGTACTTCCTATGATGTACTTCCACCACTGCATCGTTATGTTCTTTAGAACTCTTTTAAATACCAATAGCTTTATTATTTAGTCTCCTATTGCACAATTACTACAATCTTTTCACCTAATATCTTTCATAATCAAAAACGTGAAACGCTTTTCCACAGAACTTGGGCCTTTTGAACCAGAACACCAAACCAGTGGTGATTAGCAACTTTCCAACTTCTTGTATAATCAGTTAAAGACCAGATACTTCAGAAAACAGCATGCTTTATTACACATAATCTCTGTACTAAACACAACCATATCACAGCAGTCTCCAAGAGCTTATTTCACAAGGAAAGGGAGATCTGTCAGTCCGTTGAGACCACCAAGTCCTTCAGCCTCTTCTGGCTGACAAGCACAAGAAAACTCGTAACAGAACATCTTACAACTTAATTTTCTCAAGTATGAATCAAATGTATTAATCAGGGAGTATAACTTATTGTCTCTCTTTCAATGAGCATTACATTCCATGTTATTTTATGAGTCTCTGTCTCCTTGCATAAATAAGTAATCCTGTCTAAAACTATACAAATAAATGCAAGGTTACCTCCATTTCTTTTTTCTTCTTTTTTTTTTTTTTTTTAAGTTGGTTAACAACTTCAACCAACGTTCACAAAGAACTACTGTATCAATCATTTCTTAAAGTCATAAGAAATAAATTAGAAAATTATTTCTGTGAAAGGGTGCTGCACTTTATGTAAGCTCAAATACAAACTCTAACCACTACCACCACCTCTCAAGTAAAAGCCATGAATTTTTCTGTCTACACGAGGAAATAACATCTTCATGTACACAATAAAATGATAAGTACGAGGCTATGAATGCAGAGGATCAAACTACCTTCACAATCTTTGAGAAACAAGAATATTTAAGGAGGCTGTCCCAAGTAATCACCTACATCTTCCAAGTTATTTTCTAGCTGATAACATCATTTATGTGCCAGAATATATTGCATTCATTCTCTAGGTTTAAAAAATTTAAAAAATGCTTTCCAAGTTACACACAAAAGAAAAACGCCCATGTGGTCAATATCAATTTACCTTTGCAAAAGTTCTTTAAGTCACCTCTTTTATATGGGCTCCATACCAACTGAGTTCTGCTGAATTCTTTTAATTAAACCCTTCTCCACCAGAAAAGGCAGAGACAGACTAGAAGTAAAAAAAAAAAAAAACAGCAGGGATAAGCTGCAACTGCTCTCCTTCCTAGGAAGTTAATAGGAAGTTCTTGTTTGGTTAATCCAACAAAGGATATCTTAGTTATAGACATCAACTACAGGAATTAAACGTGCAGAGTTTATACTGAACAAAAAACAAGACTGCCTCAGAAGTATTAACACATTACTGTTGAACCTGATTAATGCCTTTTAGCAAAATAGTTCTCTTTGAAAACTGCTGATAACAGTGTCACAAAGTACAGTTGGGAAAAAGAAGCAGAACAAGTTACTTACTTGTTTTGGTAATTAATTATCTCATTAGTAGCTTGCTAGAAAACCTCAGTCTCACGTACTAACCATTGTTTACAAATACAGACTGTATACTCAATGAACATTTGTTAGAATTACAAAATAAACAAAAGAGCTTGACAAAGCAAATAATAACAAGAAGAAAATAGATAGAAAGCTTACCCCTATCCTAGGCTGACTCACAAAACTCCTGCAGAGCAGATCTCCAGAAGAGCTCCTTCCCCACTGGCAGCCAGCTCTTCAATAGGGCTAGGAGGGGTGGAGCCAGGCAGCACAGGTGAATTGCCTCCACCTGTGCTCCTCTGGCTGTCTCATGGCTCGTCTCAGGTGGTCAATCAGAGGTTCAGGCCGTGACTTAGCACTTCCCATACAGAAGTATACTCAGACTCTTGGTGTTGATACAGACTCGGTAACCTTTCCCCATATATAGCAAAGAATTTGCATGAATGGGGCAACAGTAAGACATGCTTGTCACGTTGTAGGCCCACGCACCCATAAGTCAGATTATAATGGCACGGTGCAAATGCTATGAATGTTTAAAATACAAAAACAATGCTCAGACTTCCAGCCCAAAGTTGTCTCTTTCCTTCTTACCCACGTGAACTTCCCAGATTAAAAAAAAATGGCAGCACAACTAAAGGTGCCACAACAGTTGTGTAGCACATTACCTGCCTTCGTGAGACATCTCGACAATTTAAAGGATCTATAGAATCATTTATCCAGCAAAGGCTAATTTATCATTGTATGGGAACTACTGAGTCACGGCCTGAACCTCTGACTGACCACCTGAAGTGAGCAATGAGTCAGCCCTGGGAGCACAGGTGAAGGCTATTCACCTGGCTCCACCTCTTCTAGACCTATTTAAGAGCTGGCTGCCAGTGGGGAAGGAGCTCTTCTGGAGATCACTTCTGCTGGTGTTTTGTGAGTGAGCCCAGGATAGGGGTAAGCCTTCTTTTTTTTTTTTTTTTTTTTTTTTTGTTATTATAGTCTGCTTTGCTAAGCTCTCTTATTTGTTTTGTAATTATAGCATCTTAATATTCATTGATTATGCAATCATTAAAATCATTTAGTGGCTCACTGTTTTAAATAAACCAAAACCAGAATGGTGTGGGTTGGAAGGGACCTCAAGGATCATGAAGCTCAAGCCCCCTGCCACGTGTGAGGCCACCAATCTCTCCATTTTACAGCAGCCCAGCCTGCCCAGGGCCCTATCCAACCTGGCCTTGAACACCTCTAGGGATGGACAGGGCACAGAGGTAGGACTGCTTTTGTTATTGATGTGCTATTACAAGTGCTGACATCCACTGCTCAGAAACTATGGTTAACAGTGTAGATGTTCAGAACTAAATATTCATGTTAGGGGCACAGTTCAAGCACAGTTGTGTGTAACAGACTGAAGAACAGCCTGTGTTTCAGAAAGTGAAGTAGGGTGAAGAACCCACCGGGTGCACAGCCTCTGAGCTCCGCTAGAGGGGCTCGTTTAATTAGGCAACAGCGTAGTTCCCATTCGAATGGGGAGAAGTTCTATCTGGAGTTTATCGCACCATAACCGATTGGTAAATACTGCACAGCACGAGATGCTGAGTCAGAACTACAAGAACTTCGCAGTTAAGAAGCTGCTCGGTCCTCCGTTCTAAGGGCTTACTGTTTCTCATTCCAACAGGTAGCGACTGGGCACTCTAACCATCCTAGCGTTACCTGGATAACCAACAACCTACGCTGCTCTTTTTGTGCACGCTTCTGTTCTCTCAGGGCTCGGCCGTGCAGCGAGCGCACACGCAGCCGCACCACGGAGCGTCCCGCGGGGCTGCCTCAGCCATTCCCTGGCCGTGGGACCGCCCCGACGGGGCGCAGCCGGCGGTGCGGGGCGGGTGCTGCCCTGGTGTGCACCGCGCCCTTTCCAGGAAGCGCTCAGCGCCGAGGACGGTGGCGGATGGTTCCCGGCAGCTGGCTCTCGGCTCGGAGCTGCGGCGGGCAGGTATGCGCGGCACGGCACGGGCTCTCTTTCTCCTCGTCGGGGCTCTGAAGCGTCCCCTCTTCCGTGGGTCATCGCGGTTGTTTCAGTGGCGCGCGTTGCTTGGAAGCCCGCAGTTACCTATGGAGCGAAGGGCGCTGGCTCAGCCCCGCGGCGATGGCCGGCCCCAAGGCCCGTCCTGCCCCAAGGTCCGTCCGGCCCCGTGTGTCCCCGTGCCCCTACTGCGGGCGGTGGGACAGCCACGGCGACGTGTGCGGGGTTACGCAATGGCACGCAGGACCTGTTCGGGTCGGTGCTTTCTTTTTAGCGATCCGTCGGGCTGAACGGCGTGTAGGCACTTGCGTTGGATTACTTCATGTGTGGGACTTGTTCGGGCTTCGTCATTCGGGAGGTTGCGTTGTCAGTGCGTTGAGGTGCGGGTTTCTGTCGGGCAGGTACGCGCCATGCTGGGGCTGCTGCTGCTCTGCCAGCTCCAGCTGACCGCGTCGAGGTTTCTTCACCGCGTACAGAGGCTGAGCAGCCCGGAGCAGCCCGACGCCACGCATGGTAAGGCACTGCCAGCACAAGTTTGTGCTTTCCGGAAAAATAACCATATCTTCTTAACTTTGTTTCTCCTGAGTAATCTTTGATAGTACTTTGTTTGCTCCGACACGAACGCCCCCTATTTATTTCCTTGGAAATGACAACAGATACGAAGACCACAGTAACACTATTTGTCAGAGCAAATTCTCAGCTACAAAACTGTTTTTCAACGTAGTTGCTACCATTAACATTCTGATTTCACCAATGATGAACAGGAGTTACTTCTGTGTCAGACTGCTGCTCTGCTGCCATCTCTCACACGGCAACAAAATACAGCAGGATATTGGTGGAGAGATTCAACCTCTGCTGCCATGCCACCAATGTCCACCTCAGATGTTGTGGACATACACCATAAAATAGGAGGCGTTACTTTTGGAGCAGCCACATTTTGAGCACAGTGCGTTACAGTTTTGAGTGTCTAAAACTCATTTGTATTGAGAGGGTTTATTTGCTTGTTTGCTGAGACTGATATTTTTCCTCAATACCATATCCCTTACACCACCTTCAAACAAAGCACAGTGCTGCTACTGCAGTGCCTTCGTTTGGAAGGTAGAAATCAGTGATGTCTCCAGGAAGGACTCAAGTCCTTGTGACACACGTGGGATACTGAACATCTCAGTGTCAGGGCTTCATAAGTGAATTTGTAAGATATCTGCCCTGTCTTCTCAGTGAATGAGGAGTGCCATAACCCTAGCACAGGCTTGTCAAAGCTGTCACATAGAGGAGGGGACTCGTTCAGGGCAGCAGTTCAAGCAGAAAAATGCTGAACACAGGTTATTCATTAAAATCTGTTCTGCTGTGGGGCAAAATGGAGAGCTGCCAGGCTGCCTCTTCCTTATGAGTTCACAGCACAGAACCCTCCCCTGGCAGTAAAAAGGCCCGGATTGCTCCAAGGTGGAGCTGGAAAGCAAGGGGCCCAACTCTTTCATCCAGTGTTTTAACAAGTAGAACAGTTGCCAAGAGTGTGGGGTACCTGCAGTGAGAGGTTACACCTTCAGCATCTTCTGAGCATCTTTTACCACCAGAGTGACTTTATTCAGCACATTGTGTGGATGCATTTTTAATTAAACATGCTAAAACTGAATTTACTATCTTGTTGAACTGTGGCTCTGGGACTGCAGGAGTGCATCTAGCAGAGAATTCAAATTCATCTGTTTCATTCTCCAAATACTTTCTTAATCACCAGGTCATGTGCTATTTGGAGGTGGAGACAGGTATGTATTGATTACATCCTACAAAGTGATAAAGAGAGCAGATAAACAGATGAATACTGAGAGAGAAAGAGCTTGTACCACTGGGGTTTAGGGTTCTACACTTCACATTCCTTAAAATGCAGCAATTATGTAAGTTAAGTGGGAAGTATAGCTAATGTTGCTTGCAGAAAGGAATGAAACACTTCTGAGCAAAACCAAAGATCTGCTTGCCTATTCAAATGTGATTTGCAATGAACCAAAATATGGATAATATAGTATTTATTGTAGCATTTATTGTAATATTGTAGTTGTTTTCCATTTCCACTTTTTTTCTAGTCTGAAGACCATATCTCTAGTTACTGCTACATAGAGCATCAATATTTTAAGTACAGATTATCATGCGACTACTTTGAAGTAAAAGATGTCTTCTTACATGTGCATACTGTTCCTCCTATCCATGCTGTAATATTTCTTCATTACACTGCCATATTAAAAGCATGAACAATCAATATGCAGGTTATACTTGCATTTTCTTAGCTTACAGAGAACAAAATGCTTTGAGATAGCGCTGCAAGAGCTATCTAACTATGAGGGTAGAAATTCCTGAATGATATGATAATCCAGCAAAACAAACCAACGAGAACACAGCTAATTTGTAGCCAAATACCTTTATTCTGAGCCTCACCCCCTTTTTTAGCTATCTGACTTGGTATAGAAAAGTGCTGTTTGTGCATTGCCCTTGCAAAAATAATCCTCTACCTGTGTTACTGAACCAAATAGTCTGGATTTCTTAGAGAACAGGTTATGCATTCACTACCAGCCAAGCCAGAAAACTAGTTCTGTTATACGAAGATGATATTCCTTAAAGGAAGCTGTACAAAGAACGGGATAAAACTTGACTATGAAGATGTCTGGTGAGAAAATGCATTCCTATATTCCGAAGCCTGCTGTAGTTTCACTAACTCTTCTGGAATCTTACCTCACAGCTTGCTCCACAGGGCATTGTGGCACCTGGAGGAAGCACAGGAGAGAAAAAGGATTAAATGTCTTTAGAAGTGTCTGCTGCCAGTAGAATTCCTATCACACACTACTTGAAAGCAAAGAAATGTTTACACGGGACTTTAGCTAGTACTTGCTGTCACAACAGTGAGAACAAATGTGAAAAGAATAAGGATCTGCTGCTGTGATTTAAATTCTGAATTGTGTAAACAAACTTGCAGAATATTGATAGATGTATTTTGAGGGTTGTTGGGTTTTTGGGTGGGTGTTTTTTGTTTGTTTTTTTTGCTTAGTTTGAATGTGACTGGATTTCTGCGTTCTGCAAGCATTACTTTGTTCTGAAGGGCTCTGATGCCCACATCCCAGGAGGAGTAATACTGAAACTTAAACTTTCAGCAGCTGTCAGGAGAACCAAATACTCTTGGCCAGTATTAGGGATAGCTGAAATGCTCTATGGGAGGAAAGTATTTCTATTTTATATTACATAGTTAGAAAAGATAGCAGCAGAGTCAATGTTTTAGGAGAAGAGCTTTGTGCTCCTTTCTCCTGTATGCAGTTGAGATGTGCTAGGGGAAGAAGTGGATTCAACATCGTCCTATAGGATGTTGCCCATTCTTTGAAAACCAGAAGCTTTGGCCTTCCAAGCTTGTTTCAAATAACTTTTTTGTTTTTAACTAGTGTTCACATCAGCAAAGGAGGCCAATTTATTCATTGGACGACGTCTTCTGAACAACAGATTTGATTTTGAAGCATTCACGCCTGATAACCTGGAAAGAGAATGTATGGAAGAGCTGTGCAGCTATGAGGAGGCCAGAGAAGTTTTTGAAGACACTGATAGAACGGTAGTTGTTCAAACAATGTAATGCACTGAAAGAGACTGCTGAATAGATGATTGCTGTATTTAAATCCTGTAGCCCTTAAAAAATAACACAAGTGAGACAATTGCTTGTTCTATAGTGGCAGTAAAGGCCCAAATTAGATGGAATTACTGCTCTAGATACACAGTGAATGGGCTTGCATATGCACTATTCCCTTCAAGACTTCAGACAAGGGCTCCAATTCTGTGACAGAAATGTAAATGAAACTTCACAAGTATCTCTTGTCATAGAAGAGTTATGCCTACACATATCTACACATTTCAGAATCTCACTGTTTTTCTTAGCAATTTGTCAGCATCCAGGTTAAATGCATTCATGAGCTCCATGTATTAATTGGCTGATTTCATCCCTGTCTAATGCCAAGTGTTTTGTAAGACAGGAGTACAAGCTACATCTACAGTTTAGCTATTGAAGAGTATTCCTGTAGAATCATCTTCTAAATTGCTACATATATACAGCTTGGAATAAAATTTTTATTGAAAGAGGAAATACATAAAAAAAATCTTTTGGCCCAGCAATAGAACATAATGGCTGTCTGAAGACTGACTCAGTGCAGAAAACAGTACTCTCGTCTTGATCCTAGATGTGCTCTGCCCTAACTCAGAAAGGGCAAGAAATACCTGAAGTTGAAAATGTTGGTTTGCAATTGTGAAAGCATTAGATCAGAATCTTGCTGGAGTTTTTTGCTGTCTATCAAATAATTAAGGCTAAATGCTGCTGTACAGCAATCATGCAACATAAATGTTTTTCTCTAATATGAATTCAAATGCTGTTCATGCAAATGTCTGATTCTTAAGAACTTGCTTTACTCTTTTGTAGGGATTTACAAAGGTTAACTGCAGGCATTTTTTGTATCAAAATACGTGCTAGCCTTTGCTGTAATCAGGCAAAAATATCTCTGTATGAGCTACCATCAGACAGTTAATGCAGTTCTGTTGTTCAAATCTGGTATTATCGTCTTTTTGAAGTTGCAGTTTGTATGCAAACTTGAGCGTATGACAAAAATATGCTGGGATAAGCAAGTTCAAATCCTTCAGCAAGAGTTGCTTCCATTCATGCCATTGCTGAATTTTGCTACAGTTCTGCATTGAAAAAAAAATGGTCAATAAGCTAATTATGGATCTTTTTAACATCTGCTCCTTTGTATTTTTAAAGACACAGTTTTGGAACGACTATTCAACTAAAGGTCCTAGAATAAAAACAGGTAAGAAACCCTTTTCTTCTTTTCTCATATTGCAGTATTTTATGTTTATTCTAATACATCCTGCATTCAGAGAGCAGATCTACAACTCAGTCAAGGTCACAAGTACATTAAATAATATTTGGAAGGCACTGGAGGAAAGACATCTTCAAAGTTTCACTACAGGAAAGGAAACGTCTGCTCACTTTAAGATGAACGTGAACAGCAATCTTAGCTTGGATTGCACAGATATCATGGCTTCTCAGAGCAAGCTAGACATTTGTGACAAAGAACAGCACAAGAAGAATAGTACTTCACAGTGTAAACTGTCAAGAACACAGAAAGAGCCCTATCTGAAAATAGCCCATGTTTTATTTTCAGGTGATGAAACACTACAAAAAATAAACATTACAGGACTTCTAATCGGTCCGATTGCTGCTGGAGGAATGTTAGCCATAATTGGACTACTTATCTTCTACTGCTGCAAAGATAGATGTAAATCAAGGCAACCACCAGGGTAAGGAATTTCATTGCTTAAGAGCAAGACAAGCAGTTTGGTCTCTGAGGGTGGCATTTAAAAACCACTAGTGGTTGGTCTGACTGTGTCCTCGGGGAAGCCAGTAGGAAACTTCTGATTTTCCTGGAAGCAAAATTACAATGGTAAGCACTAGTTGCTCTGAAGTTAATCAGTAACACATAAGCATAGAGCAACAGAACAGCACTTGCGTGGCTGACATAACTTCTGGTCATTGTTTTTTTTGTTTGTTTGTTTTGTGTGTGTCATCTTAGATCCAAAACACTGAAATACAGCATCACTTAATAGGTTGGGGCCTACAATGGAAGGTCTAATGTGTGTTATTTCACGCTTAAAAGTAGATTTCATGCCATAAGGAGCATATACTCCATGTCAGATGTGAAAAGAATTAGGTTGGAGAAAATACTTCTCTGCTAATTCTCTAGCCCTGATCGTTCCTTCGTCATAAACTTCAAGGAGCACAAGAGGACACTCTGCTCTCTTCTCCCGTAAATTTAATGAATTATTCCTACAGTGTAGCTTGAAGAGATTATTTGGATTCTGGTGTTTCTGATCATTAAGGGCAAGGGTGTTTGTTTTGTTTGGGGTTTTTTTTGTTTGGGTTTTTTAATTTTGCAAGAGTGACGACGACTTTCTTTCCTTGTTAAAACAAAAGCCACTGTTTATGAATGCTGTTGATGTCATTTAGGCATTTGGATCATGGAAGAAGCAGAAGACGTAGTTCGACTTCCATCTTCAGAAGGCACGAAGAACTGTCTTTAAATCCACTTCCTCCCAGACCTGATGATTCAGGACTACCAACTTATGAGCAAGCAATTACTTCAGGCGGGCAACATGACGCACCTCCGCCCCCCTACCCAGGGCCCCCAAAATGGGTACGGGCGTTTAGGAAGTCTATGTCACTTCCTGCCCCTTAGCTGCAAACCTCCTCCTAAAGGGAGGAGGGATCTTTGAGGTATAACAAACTTTTAAAAAGTTCACTACCTTGCACATTGCAAGATGGTTTACAGAAATGTGAAAGATTGTTAGCACAGCTAGGAGCAAATCAAGATCCCCTTGGGAGAGTGAACTGTTGCAAAAGCTGCAGAACCATTCTTTGCACAAGGGTGTTTCTCTAAGAAGAGAGAATGTATAAAGAGTAAGTCTTGTACTGCCCCTCTTCCACACGCACTTTGAGCCATGCCATCATATTATTGATGTTTTATTAATAGTTTTATCTTGTTTCTTTAGAAGGAACATTATTTTAATTGGTTTTATTGACAGTAACCGTTTTTTGGTGACTTAATACTTTCAGTCATCATCATAAGTCTACTGTGTTGTTTGACATTGCTGCTGTGTGGATTTTCTATTCATTCTAGTAATAGATTTGAGTATGAAAATCATGTGATGAGTTTATCTTGCAAGTGTGAATATATTTCTGCTTCTGGATTACAGTGGTTTGTTTTAGACTTTGCTGGTAAACATTACTTAATTTGATGTATTTTTGTGATTATTATTTTGGATTAAAAAGAGTAATTAGTTGCATGGCATATTGCACACTCAACAAAAATGTATGTTAATCAAAAGCTTTAAGTTCTTTATTACGAGTGGTGAGGGGCTGGAACAGCTGCCCAGAGAGGCTGTGATGCCCCATCCATCCCTGGAGGTGTTCAAGGCTGGGTTGGATGGGGCCCTGGGCAGCCTGGGCTGCTATGAAATGTGGAGGTTGGTGGCCCTGTGTGTGGCAGGGGATTAGAGATTCATGATCCTTGAGGTCCCTTCCAACCTGGTCCATTTTGTGCTTCTGTGATTTTGATGCGCTAGCTTGTTATTTAGAGAAGAATACCGAACAAGTAGAGTACTGTGGGCCTTTGGAAGAGACAGGAAGAATGACAAATATAAATTAAATGGAAGTGTTAGCAGCACTTTTAAAGAGAGGGATTTCACAGGGCTCATGAAAGTTCAGATTCTTTAGCAATTAAACTACAGAAATAGTACAGAAACTGCAAAAACTGCACCTTCTGTAGAGCGTAACACTTCATATGTAATCAGCGAATCTGCAGTTCAGATCCTGAAGGTACTGAAGATATGCAGGCTGACATTCAGATAGTGGTTATGTGCAACGTAGCTATCTGCAAAGGACATATATCATTAAAATAAGCACAGCTTAAGCTTACCTCATCTTAGGTGGGGAAAGAATTCCCAAGCAGTTCACTCGTTGCCTGTTTTCTAAATGAGATTCTGAGGAAAAACTACACCGTACTTTATTTCTCTCAGGACAGGTTCAAACATGTCACAGCACTTCAATGCTCTTAGCCATCACCTTGGCCCATTTCCCAAAACTCAGTTTCCGTGTTGTCCTTTCGACATCATACAGGGTTACACCATGCAACCTCTTACAAACGTGGACAGGTGATTACTTACAGCAAATAACTGAGGCTCACAAAAGTAGTCTCCAACTCTGCCAATGTAAAAATAAGTCACTTAACGTGTTTTCTGCATCAGCAAAACAAGAGAGCCTACTATTTCATTTCTCAAATGCTCTGATGAGCAACATTATAAACATTACATGTTTTAGGTTTTTCATGAGTAAGTGGGTGTGTGTGCACGTGTGAATTCACTGGAAGAACAAAAACAAAGTGCCACGTGGAAGTGTATTTCCTCACTGCAGGTCAGGAAAATGTGAGTCATGAAGCATTTGACTCTGGTTCTATCGAAGTCTACAGCAATCTTTTTTATTGGCTTCAACTGCTCTGGGATTGGAGCCAGAAATGTAAGAACTGGTCGCTTCTGTTAATAAAAATGTACTGTGCTGCCACGTTATTTAAAAACAATACTGTTCCCAATCCTGATTTAAATATTATTCTGTTGTCCTGCTGATGCCCGCTAACATTAAAAACCGCAAAAAGTCTGGTTTATTTAAAACCTCCCCTGCCAACAGAAGTTTTACTGCTGCTATCCTCACTTGTTCCATGCGGGGAAGAACAGGAAAGAAATCCCAGGTGTGAAACTCATCTATCAGACACTTCAAGTTCATTCTCTTTGCATTGGAAATATATTCATTCTTGTATTGTACAAATTTATCCCTGCATCGTTGTCACAGTTAAGAAATATCATCTTTTCCCCTCAGATGCGTTCAGCGCATCTCCACAATGCCGTGCTCTTCGTTCAGTGGTAGCTTCTGCTTGCAGTAGTCTCTGAGCTGTGTGTTTGGTTCTTGTGACTTCATACATTTCAGCCCTCCCTCTGCCCACCCGACACAGCCTTTTGAATGCACTTGCCCTAGTTATCTTTTCATTCCAACTTTAAGTGCTGGCATTTCGGGGGGAGAGGCAGCAATAGTTAAAACACTGCTAGTCTCTATTCTCTTGCAAAACAATTTCCGATAAACATCTGCACATTTCTTGGAATTTAATTCAGCCTATGATAAAGTTTTTTTAAAAAATCAACTCTTTGCTGTGCTGTAGAGCCCCTGTCAGTGGGGAGATGACATGGTTTGTTTTCTCTTAACAAAAACTTCCCGCTTCACCACTCTGAATGGTGAACAACAGGCTCTGTACATGAAGTCTTCAGGACTGGATGAGGTTGTGTACCCTTCCACCTTCTTCTGATTCTCACCAGACCTTTGGTTGGAAGCTTCAATACACTGACATGGCAAAAAAAACGCCCACTTTCTTACGGTTAGTGAAGTGAGCAAGATCACATCAGGGAGCACCAAAACAGGTGTGCAAAAGCAAAACAGGAAGAGAACTTCCTTGTTCAGTAATAGTGAGTTCAGACTGAAGAAGGTATGCACTGAACGTGGGGAGCAACTTGCCCAGTTGCACATGTGTGCAGCTCCCAAGGCACAGCATGGTGCAGAGTAACTTTACAGGAAAACAAATAAACAAATTGACTGCGTGATTGCACTAAATTAAACCACTCTCTTTCACCCACAGCAGAAATAAAACAGCTAGATTTGTACTTCTAACCACACAAGACGAACTGAACAAGCTGGTTAAAAACTCAGAGCATAGCAAAGATTCAAAGATACAACAAAGCAGTCAACTGAACTGAGACCCAGAATACGACTGGTGGGGTGTAGGTTCATTCACATTAAGCCAGGCACACGGACGTATCAGAAAAAATACTTCTCTCTAGAAATCGGTGTGTTTTGGAAAGACCTCAGAACCTCAGGTTTTAAACTTCTGATGCAGTGCCAATTTCATTTAAGGAATAAGAAATGCCTCTGATCACCCAGGTTGTTCAAACACCTTCAGTGAAATTCTCCAATTCTCCAAAGCCTACTAAATAAATATTGGTAATTGAATGCCCAGTACTTCATGGTAAACACTTAGCTTGGATGCGATACAAAGGATGGTTTCTGGTAAGAGTTAAAATACTCCTTGTCAGATCACGAGCTTGTTTGAGAGCAAAGGCTTTTATTTAAATTGCCTTTTTTCCTAAATCTCACTGCATTTCTCCCACTGGCCTTACACAACTTCTAAATCATAGTTGATAAATTTGAACGCGCTCATCCAGCAAAAACAAAGGGGGTACGTGGGTTGAACTAACTCCAGTGTGAGCAGTTGTGGAACCACGTGAGCAGGAGGGGGACTGGGAAAAGGAAGGACTTTGTTCTCATTGGCACAGTGTGCTTTGTGCCAGCTCACACTTCCAGTGCCATAATTTTGTAGCTCAATTTCAGTTATCTTCCTGAAGATTGTGATTCCTTTGTTTGAGATTATACCCAAGCTTTTTTTTTTAATCAAATAAAGGCACTGAACATAAAGAAATGCAAAGAGTACTCGCCCTGAGGCTCCTGGATAAAGTGTGCTCTTTGAAGGGCAGCAATTTCTTCCCTATTTACACATCTACTAGTGTCCAGTTTGACATTTCAACAGGCCAAGTGCCAAGTAAAATGCAAAATCTAATCTGTTAAGCGACTGCAATTTTCTGCTTTGATCAGGATCACAGTCACAATTGCACCTAAAAGAGCAGAGATCGGCAATAGGCTTGAAAAGACTCGTGATAGTCCAGCCTAACACCTGATGCACTTCTCTTTACTTCTAATGGAAGATACAGGAGCTTGGCAGCACGTACACCTACACAGAGCCCACACTAAGGCCCTATATGCATGTTCTGTAAACCCATACCTAATGTCTGTTCAACGGAGAAGAAAGAAGCCTCAGAAATTTTATCCTGCACTCTTTTCAAAATCTGTTAATCAGTCCCAGCTCAGCTTTGGCCCAAACTTCTTCAAACTTCATCTGGTCGCACATACTCACATTATTTGGATATTTTTAATCATGGAACATTAATTTTCATAAAAATGTCCACAAGTCTCCGAAACGCCACTTCCATCAATCTTCAAAGCCCATTCTCTCGGGATAAGGCTAATTGCTGAGCACTTCCAGAGTGTTTGCTGGCAAATGGAAAAGCGTTAGTCACTGTAAGCAGCCACCAAGACGTCTGTGTATGTCAGCGAGCTATTTACGACGCTGTGATAGCTCCAGAATAAAGCACTATCATGGTCTGAAATATGATCCTTTCGTCCACTTCCACCAACTTTGTCATAAGCTCAGACATGCAGAATTAGCTGCGTGCTGTGCTTTAACCACTTTCTCTGCTGAGCAGCTGAAGCTGCTGGTCAGCTCGCTGATCCAGCATGTGCCTCTGACTCCATGCTTTTGCCATGACTCTTCTCAGAGCATCCAAATTGCCCTACAGCAAATCAATCATTTTGCTGCAAAAGCAACAGCTACATTGAAAACTTCTTCATGCAAGAAAAAGAAAAAAAAGAAAAGTCTCTGGTTAAACACGTGGGAAAAGCTGAGATAGGAGCAAAACCAGGCATCATCTGTTATGGAAAGGCACAGGACAGAAGCAGTGCTCTCTGTAAAAGAAGGCAGTGTTTGTGGACAGACACTGGAAAAGCCTGGTAGAGCCAGGTTCACTGTACCTGCGGTTAAAGGGATGCCAAAAATGCAGGCAGCAACTGCTGGCCCTGAGAAGAATCGCTCCATTCAGTACCACCTGCTGCCTCGTGCACAAAGGCCCCGAGTGGGGCTGTCCTGGTATTTGACATCTGTGGACTGTTCAGGCTGCACATACCAGGGAACATTCTGCCGGGCCAGATACAATAGGAAAACACTTGATCACACTCAGCGGATGCATTAACATAGGTGCTAACAGCACTGAGAAACAAGTAAGTCAATAAATTGGTTACAAACAAATGTAAGGTGGTGCTTTATTCTGGCCCTGGATCTGTGACTGACTTACTGATCTTAATTATGACCAAATCAGATTTTTATGACTAATTACTGCCAAATCAAAATTTTGATGACAAACAGTGACTGAAACTACCCATTACTTGGATCCTACATTTCATTTGGCAAATGGCCACTTTAAAGATAAAACTAAAGTGACATTGCCTTCAAGCATTATGTACCATTAGGTTAAAGAAAAGGGCAGGTATATTAGCTTACAGTCCTGCCAGTGCTGCCTTGATTCTGGCTAAGCATAGGCTAAGCTTGGAGACATACTCTCCAGCACTCAGTACAGAGATTCCTATACTGAACACAACATGAGCCACCTCAACATCTTG